TGGTGGGTGGCGTACCACCCACCACGCCAACATGTGCCGTTCAAATTCTGAAGTACATGCATAATCTTTGATATATATGTTCATCTATGTAGTAGTGAAAGTATTATCTTAATCCTAAACTTTCATTTGCTTGCAGTGATAATTGGAGAAGGAGCTAACTTTGCTGCTTATGCATATGCCCCGGCAATTCTTGTAACTCCTCTAGGGGCTTTAAGTATAATCGTGAGGTATGTAACCAATGTAGCGATATTGGGGGTAGAATTTTACTTGTAAAAAGCTCTTTTTAGTTTCAAAAACTCATGTATAACTTTCCTTTGCAGTGCAGTGTTAGCTCATTTTATTTTAAAGGAGAGATTGCACATATTTGGTATTGTTGGTTGTGTCCTCTGCTTGGTTGGCTCTGTTAGTATTGTGTTACATGCTCCACTCGAAAGGAAAATCGAATCTGTCATGGATGTTTGGTACCTAGCAACCGAGCCAGGTAATTTCTCAAACGCCATCTCAGCTACATTCTTTCATTTTCTTAACTTTGCTTTTCGCTTGCTGAAAAGTTTCCAGTCAGAGATTTATATGCCAGTAGAAAATATAGTGAGTGTCTCGTACTTTTCAATTTTATTTTGTATAATATTGGTCCGCGATGTGCTTATATGGAGTGACATGATTAGTCAGGATTCATATAGCCGATCCCAACTGCCTTGGGATAGTAGCACGTTTGTTGTTGTTGCAGAGAAATAGGGAGGTAACTGCTGCCTTACAGGCATTGGCGTTTCTCTATATGGTGAAATCCTTATAGCTGAAACATTGGTCAAGTACTATATATAACAATACACTCTCTTTTTGATTGAAATAGTTTACAATAACAGCATAGAAACACTGGCTTTGTTTAGTTAATATTTACATGTGTTTATTTGTTTGAACTAACCAAATGGTTTTTGAGAAGAGCAGGATTCATTATATACACATGTGTAGTCGTGGTGCTGGTACTCGTCCTTATTTTCCGGTTTGTGCCTCGTTATGGGCAGAAGTATATGGTCATTTACATCGGAATCTGTTCTCTCACGGGGTCTCTCACGGTCAGTATATATGTTCTATTTTTACGCGTTTTCACCTGCAGTTCATGGTTCCTTATGTACATTTCGTATGCTTATAACTTGACTTTTCTCTTGTTGTTATTCAGGTTATGGGTGTGAAAGCAGTTGGAATCGCGCTTAAGCTTTCATTTGAAGGAAAGAATCAGTTCAAGTATTTCCAAACATGGTTATTTACTGTGTTTGTTACAATCTTTTGCCTTTTACAG